AAAAATAAAATTATTATACTTTAGCTAATAGTAAAAAATAATAATTTAAAAATTAAAAAAGTATATTTATAAAAGGTTTTTCTTATATATAATATCTTAAAAACGTATACTAATATAAGCAGGACTTACTTTATAAATATATTAATCTTAAAAAAGGTATATACTAAGGTAAGGATTAAAAGTTTATTTATTTTTTATTATAAAACTAACTTTAAAAAGTCCTTTAATATATATAACTACTTTATTTCCTTTAATAAAAATATTAAACCTAGCTTTAAACTCTTTAGTAACTTTCTTTTAGTAGAAATCTAAGTTTAGCTTCCTTAGGTTACCTAATATCTATAGTACTTTAAATTTTATAATCTATAGAATTATACTAAGATTAAAAAATATTATAAATATAGTAAATTATTTTTTAAATATAATAATACTATAGTTAATTACTTATCCTTACTTTAGTATATTAACTATAATAGCTTTTATATAGTAAACTTCTTAAAATACCTTATTAAATTAATTATTAAAAATAGGAAAAAAGTATAAATAACTAAAACCTAACTTTAGGTAATTTAAGAATTAGGTTAGTAAAAATATAATAAAGCTAACTTACTTAAACTTAAATTTACTCCTACCCTAGCCTTTAATATTAAAAAAATATTTAATTTAAAAACTTAAATAAGCCTTTATATAAAGTTATTAATCTTTAGTTTAGCTTTACCCTTCCCCCCTTAAGCTTTAGCTAAAAAAGTTATTATTAAAGTTAACTTAAATAAAAAAGATTTTTATAAAGGAACCTCCTTTATTAAGTTAGTAGTCTATAGAGCTGGCTTAAATAATAAAAAAAAAAAAACTAAAGGTAATAAAAATATATTTAATACTTTTTTTAAAATTAATAAACTTTTTAATATAAGCTTATAAATAATAGGCCTTATTATAGCTATTAAAAAAATATTAATTTTAAAAATTTTTAAACTAATATTAAAAAAAATAATTTATATTAAAATATTACTTTATTACTAATATAAAAAAGTAACTATAATATTATACTAATTTAAAAACCTTACGCTTAATAAAATAAAGTATTAAATAAAAAGTAAATTAAAAATTACCTTAAATATTAAATATATAACCCCTTAAATAGTTAAAAAAATACTAAACCCTTAGTTTTTATATTTATTAAAATTTCTTTAAACTTCTTTAATAAATAACTTTCTCCCCTAAGCCTAAAAAATAAATATATATATTAAATAAAAGTATATAACTATATTATTACTAATATTTACTAAAGGGCTTTAGTAAACTTAACTATAAAAACCTTTATTAAATAAAATCCTCCCCCCTTTTATTTAATTATTATAAATAACTTTAATACCTTATATTAACTTTAAAAATTAAGTAAAGGTATAAATTTAGTAAGTAATAAAATTATAAAATAAATAGAAAAGTATAACCTTTTCTTAGCTTTAATAAATATACCTACTTAATACTTAGGAAAATATATTAACTTAATTTTTATAAATTACCTTACGTTAATTAAGGTTAAATACTTTTTTAATATAAAGTTAAACTACTATATAATAATTATAAACCTACTTAAGCTCTTTAAAATAACCCTAGGGATAGGGAAAAAATATATTTTATTAAAATACTAAAAAAACTTTAGCTAACTTATATACTCCTTTACTTAAACCCTTTTTATAATTAACTTAATTATATTATTAAAAACTAACTTAAATAAATATACTAAAGCTTTATAAAACCTTTTTAAGTAAGTTATAAAAGGGGTTAGTAAAATTAAATACTAAAATAGTTATAGTATATTATAATAGTTAGAAAAGTATAAAGTAATTTATAAAATTTATAAAAAAATAATAAATAGCTCCCCTACTTAAAAAAAAGCTTATAAAACCCTTAAAAATATTATATACTATAATAAGTAAGCTTACTAAAATAAAATTATAGCAGAAGCTAGTACTACTAAGAATATTTAATTAGTAGCTAAATAGCGTAAGGTAATAGACTATTTTTAACTACCTCTTTTAATAAATAAGGATAAAAATATTTTAAACTTTATAAAAAAAGTAACTTTCCTTAAAAATAAACTCCTTAAGTATAAAATAATAAAGAAGGATATTTTAAACCTATAGGAAAAGAATTTTCCTATTAATAAAAATATTTATTAAAATTAAATAGTATTAAAATTAAAGGTTAAAAAAGCTATAATAAGGTTAGGGAATATTATACTTAGTATAAATAGTATTTCTATTACTTTTTTATAATTTACCTAGTTTATTATTAATAAATATATAATTAACTTTTTTTATAAATACTTAATAATAAAATATTACCTACTTCCTTTTTAAAATATAAAAATTACTATTATTTTTAAACTAAGGAAGTTAAAAAAAGTATATACTATATATAAAGGTTATAAATTTATTTCCTTACTTTTTTATATAAGTAAAAGCCTTAAAAAACTCTTAGTTAAAAAAGTCTTTTCTTTAGTAATAAAATATAAAATATTATTAAAATAATATTATAAAGCTTTTTTAAAAAGGTTTATAATAAACTTAGTTACCTATCTATTATATAATACTAAAGTTACCTTAGCCTAAGGTTTTATTATCTTTCTCCTTATACTTAATATCTTTAGTATATTTAATATTATTATATATAATTACCTAGTATATAAACTTAAGGAATAAAAATAACCCCCTTTTTTTATAAAATAAATTTACTTTTTTATAAGTAATTATAAAGCTTTTATTTAAAATAGCTATAGGATTACTTTTTTAAAAATAAAGCTAAAATATAAAGCTTTATAAAGGTTTCCTATTTCCTTTATTATTTTTATATTTTACTTTTTCCTTAGCCTAAAGCTTAATAATCTTAATATTTACTTTAAATATATAAATAATATTAATATTATAATAGTAAAAACTAATACTAAAAAAACTATTTAAAAACTTTAGTAAAAACTAAAAAATACCTTAAACTAAGGTAATAAAAATATAGTTTTTTTTAACTTAAATAAAATTAAATTTATATACTTTTATAAAACTAAATCCTAAGTATATAATAAAAAAGTAAACTTTAAAGAAAAAATTATAATCCCCTAGGACTTAGTTTATTAATTAAAAATATACTTAAACTTATAGCTTTTTTTTAAAAAATATCTTAGGATTATAAAAATAAAAGCCCTTAAAGTAGTTAACTTCCTAAGATTTTTAAATAAAATATAAAAAAAATCCTTACTAAATATAATAACTATAGTAACTAAGGCCTACGTTACCTCTATAGCCTTATATAAAATAAAGGCTTTTTAGCTTAATAAAAGTAAATAAAATATAATAAACTTAAATAAATAAGTAAAAATAAATTTAATAAAATTAACTATAATTTTAAAACCCTTATTTAAAGCAGTAGCTAAAGTAGTTATTTTTATATAAAAAATAACTAACCTCTTTATTATATATAAAAAATTAAGAGTTCCTTTAGTATTAGTATAAGTAATATAAATTAAACTTTATATAGTAGCTTACTTTATAAATTTAAATAAAAACTACCTAATTAATAAATATATTAATAAAAAACTCCCCCCTAAGGTTTCCCTTATTTAATTATAATATACTATAGCCTTAGTAAAAAAAATAATTTAACTTTTTTTATTTACTAAAAATAATAAAGTAGTTTAAGTAGGCTTAGATTTTAAAAGCTTATTAAAGTTAAAAGTAGTAGAGAAATACTTAAAACTATTTAATAACTTCCTTAGGTTTACCTTTTTTACTTACTTAAATAAGTTATAAAATAAATAAAATAATATTAAATAAAAAGCTATTATATACTATAACTTTAAAAAAACTATAATATATAATCCCTTTACTAATATAAAAGTTTATAATATTAAAGCAGTAGGTATTTTTAAAGTTATAAAGCTAGTTAAAATATATACCTTTATAAACCTAAATATTTAAAAATTTTTACTTTTCTTAAATAACTTAATAATAGTAAATAGAATTTTAAAACTAACTTTTACTTTATTTTAAAAAGCGTATATAAAGCTATATTAAATTACTTAAAGACTACTTTTATAAGTAATTATAAAAATTACTTAAGTCTTAGGCTATAAAAATATACTAAAAAATAAAAAAGTTAATTAATTAATAAAAAAAAGTTTAAAACTTTTTTATCACTTAAGAAATTACTTTACTATTACTTTTATTAAAAAATAAGTAAAAAAAAAATATAAAAAAATATAAAATAATAATTAAAATAATAACTACTTAAAGTTTTATAAAGTTAGTAAATAAAGCCTTTATAAAGCTTTTTTTATACTTTTAAAATTATATTTCTTATACTTAATTTTATATAAGCTACTAATTAAAAAGTTTAAATATAAAGACTTTATAAAATATTATAAAAGATTTAAATATAATACTAAGCTTATTTATAAATATAATAAACTTAAGATATAAAGGTATTTTATAAAGTATTATATAATAACCCCTTTTTTCCTTAATATACTAAAGAAAAAAGTATACTTTAAAACTACTTATATTTAATACCTCCTTAGTAATAAAGGGTATAAGGACTTTTAAAAACTAATAAAGGAAATAAGCTTATACAGCCCCCCCCTTATAAAAATAAATACGTAAAATAGATTAATACTCCCCTATTTCCTTTATTATATTAAAACGTAGTAAACGCCCGATTTAAACTTAGCGGCTCCTACTGTCTTAGTACCTAAATAAGGACTTATATAACTAGCTTACTTAGTAGACGTTAATAATAAAATAAATAAATAAATATACTTTTTGATCTGTCTTTGGGATACTTTGCAAGAATGCCGTGGCAGCACGTATGCCCCGCGGCTAATTTCTTTTCCGTTACACCAGCAATGGACACCATCAAATCCTACTAGTGTTGGTTCCCAAAAGTTATATATTGTAGAGTTCATATAATAAAGATAAAACTGTGAACTTGTTACCAGTACATTTAGGTTGTGATTTTTTCTTTTTTTTAATATATACATACGGAAGCAACTCGAAGATTGCCTCAGAGCTGTCCGATAGGCAACCCAACATGGAAATGGGTGTAATGAAAAGAACATCATACCAGGACCTCAATATTGCATATTATACGAGCGGTTCTGGTCGAAAGGCACTTGTATTCATTCATGGCTGGAGCTGCAGCAGCGTTCTCTGGGGTAGACAGGGGGCTCTCTCTCGTCAGCATCGAGCCATCTTCATAGATCTGCCTGGTCATGGCAAAAGCAGTGCACCTCAAACCGAGTACAGCCACGAGTTCTTTGCTCGAGCTATCAAGACAGTCCTCGAGAATGAAGATCTGGCCCAGTGCGTTTTGGTCGCGCACAGTCTGGGTGGGCCTATTGCGACAATGCTTCTTCGTCTTTACCCATCTACTGTGGCTAGTATTGTTTATGTGGACTCATTCTTCATCAATTCAGAAAACTATCTTCCTGAAGTTGATAGAAAGAAGTTGGTGGAGCGGCTTCGAGACGATGAATATTTTGAAGCGAAAATTGAAGGATTCGGGACCGATCGCACCACAGCGGAAATGCGTGCTGCAATCCGTAGCACAATGCTAAGAACAAAGACACACGTTCGGGTCAATGCAATCACTACAAATTTTCTACCGCATGCGTGGCGGTGGGAAGATGTGTATGATATACCGGACCTGCTTATCACAACTCCAAGATTGGCAAAGATAGATCAACAGTGGTTACACCACCTGCCGCTGTTAAAGATCTCAGTATGGGAAGGTCACGGCCACTTTCTGTTCATGGAAGATTGTGATAGATTCAACGCAGAGGTTCAGGAGTTCCTCGAAAAGCACTCGTTAGGGTAAAACTTGGACATTCAATAAAGACAATGCAGCTGGTTGCCTCTGCGGAGTTTTGGTCTACATACAGCTGGCTTAATACATACATAATGCAAATTTTTGAAGCTTTTAAGGCCCCCCGCCATGCGTTTCGTCATGTGCAAGATCAAAGGTTCGTTCACGCCTTGGAAAACCTCCTAGGTGGGGGATCATACACTGATGTACCGCACAGGCAAGGGTCTAGTCATCTTCACAGGCTGCAGCCATGCTGGGCTGATCAATATTGCGAAGCATGCCAAGTCTTTAGACGACAGCCCTATCTACGCGATAATTGGAGGGTATCATCTTGCCGATGCAAGCAATGAGAAGATGCGCCGTACTATGGACGACCTAAAGCAGTTGGAGCCCTCTATATTGATGCCTGGCCATTGCACTGGGTGGAGATTTAAATTGCTCATCGAGCATGAGATGCCTGGCCAAATGGCGCCGATTTTTGGAGGAACTAAGTATGAGGTAGTTTAAAGATGTTTAGACAGGGGTAAGAAATTAATAAACCCTGTGCTTTTATATTATAAACTAGCTCTTATAGCTGCAAAAAAAAATACCCTAAGTAAGTAATTATAAATAAACAACAGACCAACTAATTAATTAAAAATAACTTAATAAAATTAATTATTAAGTTAATTAAGTATACGCTGCAAGAGTCTGGGGAGATCCAACATCAGCCTTTGGATGTCTTCAAAATGGAGAGGTTGGCCTCATAGCTACACTGGAAAGGATGACACAAGAGCTTGATCCTCAAAAGATTTTTTACATCCAGATTGGAGATACAGAGAATTATCCCCGCCTCTTGGTCCGGGACATGAGTTCTGGGATGAAAAAATGCCACCCAGGATGAGCTGGTCAAGGAATTCCCGATTATTCCCATTTGAGAACGAGGGATGTCTCCCGATCGGCAGGATTCTTGCTATTCTGGTCCAGCACATTGGTTATTGTGGCTGGGCAAGCATGGAGATATTCAACAGGAAACTTTTTGGTGGAGACCCAACTGTCCCAGAGCAATATGCCCGGAGAGCTAAACAGTCATGGGCTCTTACTATACGATTCTTGGAGAAAGAACACAATAATGATAGAGCGAGGCAAGCTGTCAATGCGTTGTAAGGTGGAAGGGAGAATAAACAGTATTCAGCTTTTACTGCTAGGCTGCTTGTGGCCAATGGTAAAGAACATACAGTTGCAACACCAATATACAAATCAAGTGCCATCAAAGGCAGATAATAATTTCACAACAGACACTCAAGCGTTCAACATGCAGTATAGCTTAGCTTATTGTGACTAGTTACGCGTACTATTGGTATAATAAACCTCTTATCTAGAGTAACTTAGATAACAAGTTCCTACGAGCCTGTATTTGTTAATAAAGACGGCATTTAATCCAAGGTTTGGATGATTTTGTATTCTCTTCCCATTTACACTAAGATATTATCTTTCAGTTGTGTAAGAATAGGGAGTTGTAGCAATCGAAGCTGACCTCCCCCCCTTATAAATTTCCCTGGTTAAAGCAATACAGGGCACCATTTGCATTTCCAATAACATTATCTTTGTAGTAATGTTAATAAAAACAATAGAAGCAATAGCATGTTATGCTTGTAATCAACTCACTTGTATCTATTGATGTATCGACACTGGCGCCTCCTTGGTTGCGACAACTGGCGCTGAGAACCGTGCCCGTGAGTATTATATTCGTACAAGACAACCCAAAAGAGCCACTATATATAGCATGTGAGTAATGTCTTCTAAACTGATTAACGTTGAAAGGCAGTTCTTACTCTAGCTGAGCAACAAGAGATCCGTTCGAGTTGCTAAAGCATGAATCGATGTTGACTTTGGTATTAAGATTAGTCTGCCCTGCGTTATTTTTGCAATCTGCAGCAATCTTCCAGTAGTTGGTGTTGCCATCCGGGGGATATATTTGTATATTTGTGCAACTTCCTGCGTATCCCGAGTTGGCAGATGCTCCTGCTATGAACTGGCCCATGGCAAGTGCCAGTGCAGCGAAACTCTTTGTCTGCATGATATGCAATTACAATGGGATTTCAATGCTTGCAATATACAAAAGAAGTGCAGAGATCGTGGGGATAGCTTTTCCTTTAATATATTGGGGCATTAGTTAAATCAGGAAGCCGAAAAGCTTAGGGAGCAGTTGTTTGCTTTTTCTATACTGGTCTCTTTAGTTAAATAGTTTAAGCAGCAGGGATAGTGATAATCTGACATTTCTCTTTCATCATATATTTAATAAGACATCCCGCATGAATACGATAACCAATCGAAAACCTATAAATTGCGAATACTGTCCCTTAAATTACAATTGGGGTCTTAGTGGAATGGCTTAGGCGCTGAAACTATTGTTTTCGAATCACCGGGAAATGTAATCGATACCCTGGATTTCAGTAGCATTAGGCAGCCACAATAACTCTGTAGAGTATTGTTGAGAGGATTTTTCGCAAATAGAAGGATTCAGAATTGCAGTGTTGGGCCTAGCTTCTACTGAATATGTGGGACAAAGGAATATAGACAAACAGGCACTTGCCAACACCTTCCACCTTGAGCTGGCCTAAAAAAGAAATTATTCGTGTCTTTAATACTGGTATTAGTATTTAATGATTGCATAGTCAATTGCCCCTCGTTAGTAGGCGAAATACCGCTTGTTAGTCCTAGTAGTGTAAACAAGATAATGTTAGGGGCTCTATTTTGGTTTGCTGTCTCTATTTTTCCCCTACCATCTTATCAAATTCAAATTTAGTCCCTAAACAATTCAACTGTTGGGGTCTCCCCCCGCAAATTGACATGGGATATGAGAAAAACTCCCGCGCCAATGAGAGCATGCAAACATTCAATGGCTAGGCCACGACAGGAGCAATTGAAATCGGATGCATAAATGTTACTTGTCTATATTAGGAAGGATAACCCATTTGGTCATATCTTGCGTCAATACATGACTGGCTAGCGCCTAATGTCGCCGTGGATAATGTATGTATCGTTATCCTATGTCTTGGTGCCTGCAGTCGCCTGACGCTATTTTACAGGATCTACTGTAATTTAGTAGTGCTTTCTATGTGGCTCATTGCCGCTATCTCTTAGCAAGTTTAAGCTTTATACATATGAAGTATTTGTCATACGTGCGCATAATCGAAGTAGAGAAGAACGATGAAGTGGAGACGCAGGGACATACAAGTCGAATGTAGCCATCGAAGATAAACTGCGTCTTGACGATCATTTGTTAGTGGGATTGTTAGCCTTGCCATGAGTGCCAAAAAGTGGGCTAACAACTGCTGGCTATAGTATTAACATCGGGCCTTCACAAACAGGCTGAATCAATACTAATGCTAGCTATAAGAGGATTGTAAAGGAATGTTATACATGCTTTTCGTATTGATAGCCTGCCGGCTCCCCTGTCTCGTATATGGCCTATAGTACAGGGAGTTGTTTCGCTTGTTGCCTAGGTTCCTCGTGACCACGGCATACCGGAATACGACGTTTCACAAATATACTCACACAGGCGTGAATTGCACTGAAGTATGGGGTACTTTATTTCTTTCATTGAAGGAACATCATTTCCTTATTAGATTAACTATGAATCTAAAAAGGATAAAAGGACATAGGTGGGTATAAATTTAGATGTCGCAGCACCCGCGTCAATTAATGTGGGAGGTGGTTCTTTGAGACTTGTCATTATATCGAGTTACATCTTCTTGGAAATCTTTAGATGCGTTATGGCAAGAAAGACGCTTCTTGCTTTGACCGCCTTGGTTGCGGCTGGAGCCTATGCTGATAACACGTCCTATGATGTCAACGCTGGTTGCTCCAAGTAAGCTTCCTAATATTTCCGAGCTTCCTTCACTACCCTTCTGCCCAATGACTTTTTCCTCGAGCTTGTATTAATGATTCATTTTTCAAGTGACCAACTCCTCCGATGGTATGACGAAGATATCGGTCTCTTCCTTTATCCTAATGGGGCCTACTACTTCTGGCAAGCTGGTGTCATGATCACAGCGGTTGCCAGCCTCGCTGCGCTCGATAGTGGTGTCAAGAGCAGAACCGCTGCGATGTGGCAAAACACATATCTCAAGGGAGGTCAACCTTCTCACGGTGTCATACAATTAGACAGCACCGGCCGTAAGATTGTTGTGCCCAAGGGATCAGCGAGCAGCATTCCGAGCAAATTCAAGAAGAGAGAACAAGGCTTTCTAGCAAGTCACTAGTAAGTATTTTTGCTCCTTTAAAGGAATATAAACAATAGAATGGAGGCTGATGGGCAATGAAAATATGTAGCGACGACGAAGGTTGGTGGGGTTTGGCGTGGCAAGATGTCTACGATCTCACCGGAGACCAGGACTATCTCACAGAATCTATTGCCATTTGGCAGGATATGAATGCTGGTTGGGGCAATCTCAACTGTGGCGGTCTCCCTTGGTTCAAAGGCGAAGCTAAGACCGACAACCCGTTAGCTATTCCCAATGGTAAGTTCTTTCTCCGTCTCGCGGATGACAACAGGAAGATATAATAGGCTTACATAGAATAATAGAACTGTACCTTGCCATCAGTGCTAGTCTCGCCAACCGTGTCCCCAGCAGCCAAAAGCAGACATACCTAAGTGCCGCACAAACAGCTTGGGCCTGGTTCCAAAAGGTTGGCTTCATCAACAGCCAAGGTCTTGTCAATGATGCTGTAAATGGTAACACCTGTGTGAATGATAATAACCAGCCAACTTGGACTTACAACCAGGGTGTTATCATCGGTGGTCTTGCAGACCTCTATATCGCCACGGGAGACTCATCTTACCTCACATCAGCCAGTCGGATTGCCAATGCTACTATGGCTCACCTGGTTGACAATAACGGCATTCTTGCTGACAGCTGCGATCTGTCACACAGCTGCAGCGGTGATAACCTCCAGTTCAAGGGTGTCTTTGCTAGGAATCTCCAAAAGCTCTACCATAGCCAGCCTTTCCCTGCCTACAAGGCGTTCTTGGAAAAGAACGCCCAGTCCATTTGGCAAAATGATCTCGCTGTGGAGGCAGGAGACTGCTTTAATGGAGCTGATTGGGGTGGTCCCTACGTTCTTGGCTCTGCTACGGCCAGCAGCCAGAGCAGCGCCCTTCAGTGTCTTGTTGCTGCCCTCTATGTCTCTCAGAATTAGAGATAATGAAATGATATATGGAAATTTCAAATAGTAGACAGCGCTATTGCTTTCTTTTCAAATACTAAATATAAGGATATATTATCCATTATCTTTCTCTAAGCATTCGACATTAAAAAAACCAGACCTGTGGCTAATCTGAGGATACGCGAAAGAACGATACTGTGGCAAGAGACCTTGAAGAGTACGTCGGGACGAATTAGGATGACATCCGTACTTTTAAGATCGCGAACACCTTGGAGTAAGGCAAACTTCACTGGGCATTTCAAGGCCTGGACTCAGAGAAGTTTGAGCTGAATCACTATGAAGATGACACCTTTCTTTGGCTCGCACTGCGAAACGAGCTGTCGCGCCGAGGTAGGTGGGTTGGCTCAGATCAAGGGCCAGATTTCTGGAAGGTCAAGTTCAAGGCGGCATCCGATGCCAAGGTAGACAAGTTATATTGGTCCCATGACCAAGGCGTACCACCTGTGGAGTACACAAAAGAGTTAGGTAGAGGTAGAGTCGGTGCTCCAGATCTTCACGATGCAGCGCAGCTCTAAACAGAAGTCATGTTTCAACTGCAAAAGCAGTAAGAGACGGTGTGACCGGACGCTCCCCAGCTGCACCAGATGTATCGACCATGGAGTTGAGTGTGCATATCCCTTCTCGCAGGACCTGTCTGATCGCGGCTCTCTCGGTTCCCGGCACAGCAACAGCGGGAGGCAGAAAACTTTTGATGTCCACTCTACACCAATACAGCCATGCGATGCATTTAGCCCAGAGGCTTCATCAGGGATAGCCCGCAGTCACCAAGCTTCTGGATCATCGTCATCGTCGGCGCAAGCCCCGTCCATAGTGACCCTCGCCAAATTACACACCCTGTCTGGTATGGAATTGAAATGGTTCACACCGCCCTCCACCTGGGTTGTCGTCCATCATTACCACCCGCCTGGTCCTCTACCATCACCGCAAGTCTTTACAGAATTCTTCCGCGGACTTCAGAGATGGCTTGTCCGCTTCCAGAGAGAGGGGCACAACCCATTCATCCACCGCCAGCTGTACCCGCCGCGAGAAATACCAGACTGTATTCAAGATGCCTATGCTGCCATTGCAGTCTCAATTGGGATCTCTACTGAAAATCAAAACATGACTGATAGTACAACGATATCATATGCTGAAAAACTAATCGCCCAACAAGCTACCTTGGTCCGCCAGCCCCTCAACATAATGACAGCCAAGGACCACTTGGCCCGCACCCAGGCCCTCCTCATCCACCTCATTCTCGCCCTCTCATCGGCTTCAATATCCCGTCAGGCTAAGGCCAATGGCTGGATAGAAACTCTCCACCGCTGGAAAACCGAGCTGTTAGCGTCGGCTGAGCAGGAGTCCAGCCTCGCGCAGCTGTTCCCTTGCGAACCTGCTCTTGCCCTAGATGGTGCCGGATCGGATACCGATCCCATCCCGGACCTTCATCGGGCCTTTCTTATCTGCGAATCAATCCGCCGGACGTGGCTATTATGTTTGGTGTCTACAGGAATGTACCGCAGCCTCAAAGGAGACTGGATCAATGCCTGTGGCGGCGACATCTGCTTCACGGCCCGTGCCAGCCTCTGGAGTGCTGCCTCATCCGCCGCCTGGGCAAGTATTGCCAGAACGACGGATCCATTATTCGAGTACAGTCTTAGCGGAGAGGAAGTAGCAAAGCGAGGGATCCCTGCTATGGAAGTTGACGAGTTCGCCCGTCACATATTTACGCTCAATTGAGTTACACGGCAGAAGTTTTATTTTTTCCCCTTCAAATAAAGCCTGGTCACTACAACATGTCCCCACTGCCACTGCTCTGGCCAAAGTACTTGATTACCTACCATCGATTAAGCTGCCAAGTTTACACCGTTTACAATGTGTGCTTGGATCCCAACAACCGATATGCCAAGCCTCCGGGGCAAGGTCGCTGTTGTAACAGGCGCAAGGTATTTAATTTTAGACAAGCGGCTCTGTTTGGGAATACTTGCTCATCAGCTGTAGTGTCGGCATTGGGCTCCAGATTGTTCGCCAGCTCGCGCAGCATGGAGCTAAAGTTTACGCCACGACAAGATCCGCAAAGAGCGCAATGAAGGCGCGAAATTCCTTCCTCCAGTACCCAGAAATCGCTCCTGAAGCGGTGGAATGGCTACAATTAGACCTGACGGATCTGAGGAGCATTACCGAGTTGGCGGAAGATGTGAAGAAAAGGGTTAGCAGCCTCGACATTCTGGGTAGGTCCCTCGCTTCTATGCAGTCAACCTAGACTCACTGGCATGGCAGTCAGCAATGCTACAGCTATCACCACCTCGAAGAAGATCGTAGCCGATAGATGGGAGAAGAACATGGCAGTCAAGTATGTTCCGTCATCTAGCCCGGGAAATCTTCGCTGAC